TGGGACAAGTTGATGGCCCTAACATAAGGCAACTGCATCGAAAGTCACGCATAACGAGAGAATTACAAATCAATTCCATCATTACTCTTCCGCCATCATTACTAAATCTTTAAAGATAGGAAACCACAATTAGTTTTGATTCTTTGGCAGCAGTAATTAGTATACCATTGATAAAAATTCCTACGAAGTTTTCTTTCGTTGAGATTTCAGAAATGTCTTAAGTGACAACCTGGTGCTAAAGTGGTAGCACTCGAAAGAAGAACATCTGGGGGATAGCCACTTTTGGTCCCCAATATCACTAATCTTTTCCAAATGTACTAGTATAGTTTTGAATCTTCAGGAGGAAGATCGAATCTTTTTAGACATGTTCTGAAGTAAGTTTTTAGCAATTCTTTCGATGTTGTACTTATCATTTCAATGAGTATAGGACGGGGAGTATGACTTGTTGTACCTTCGGGTCGTAGAAATCCCAGAAGCAGTAATCAATTTTCCCTAGAAATATTGATACCACCTCACAGAACCAATTCCTTATCAATCATCCGAAATCGTCCACCCGAGCGGACTCTAACCTATAATCAACCTACAGTGGCACTACTAATTAACGATACTGTCTGATATCCAGGAACTGTCAAACAGTATTTAGGCAGTATGATTTTTTGATACTGGACACATACTAGTATCTGGGAGTAATGCCCTTATGCCAGAACCCAGTTCATACTTTCAAGGTAGCAAATAATATCAAAATATTGTATATGCGTTAATTAGCGGAGCTACTGATAGACTGATTAACAATGATTACTGGAGTCGAAGAAACTAAATCTCAAAAGGTTAGGAGCAAGCTTTGTATTAGGACAGTAAACTCATAGTTTTTTTTTACCTTATCACCTATCTTGGTAAACATAACCTCTCTGACTAGCCACCTGTTCGATCACTTCCACTTCTTGAAGTGGATCACTTGGTTGTAAGCAGCGATCAGTTCTTCATCCTGTGCATAAGCAACGGAGTGGAATTCAGAGATGACACGCTCAAGATCTTGAATATGAGGTATGTAACACTCGATCTCTTTCTCTACACTTTCATACTTCACGTGGATCGCGTGAAGCCTAGTCTTCAAATCCACGATCTCTTGGCGAGCGGTCTCAAGCTGCAGAGAAGTGGGGGCAGAGATATTAGACCCCTTCAAAGCAATAAGCTCAGATTCCAATTTCTTGACTGTCTCGGCCGAGGAGTAAGCTTTGGCTGCCATAGTTCTTGCCACCTCCTTAGCAGCCTTGGTATCCTCTTGATCAAAAAAGCATGGACTCAGCTACCAGAATCATCGTTTTCTACATCAAGGCCAGCAAAGCAATCCTCCTATACTCGGTTGTATGCTTTGCAAAGGAACTTGGGCCAACAACTCCTTTGACATCATCAATGAACTTGGCACATACATCAATGTCTTCGAGTAGATATGGTTTCAAAAGTGCACAAATCTCAGCAGCTTCCCTAGAAATAGACTTGGTGGATTTTTCAAGATTATCTACATGAACGGTCTTTTTTTTCTCAGCAGACGAGTCGGTCTCAGCAGCAGAGGGAACAGATTTTGGCCCTACTTTAGCAGGTAAGGGCACCTTGTCATTTTTCATAGTAGCAAGCCTCTCTAAAGGTGAACCAGACTTAGCTCTAAGCAGACGCTTTGGCATAAACTTCAACACTAGAGGCACAAAGGAATTTCTACGTTGGGCAATCCTATCAGCAATCAAACTAGTAACCTTCAGAACGACAGGCACCACTAGCACAAATCTAACAACCTCATCTTTCTCGCCCTTGGAGGAAGTCACGTCAATCACAAGCTTAAGAGCAGCCAATGAATCCTAGCGAGCAGCGGAAGAAGTCTTCGACTTCTTCTCAGCAGGTGTTTCTTGATCAGGTGGGGAATACCTTTTTTTTCCACCTTCATGTGTAGCAGGCTCCACCACAGTGATAGGATGAGCCAATGTCTTAGCTTTGATTGATTTTATCTCCTTTTTCGGAGCAGCCCACATTTTTCCCTACGAAGAGGACTTAGCAGTCAACGCCACTCACGGTACTCGGAGGGAATACCCAGAGCAACATGCACTTTCTTCATATCCATAGAAGTCTTAGGAGTGGAGCTGAATTTCAAATCTACAAAAGCAGTGAAAGACAATCAGAAAATTAAAGAGCAGTTTAGCACAAATACGAAGCAGTCGAGAGATAAAGCAGCTTACTTACAGGATATGAAGACCGTTAGAACATGCAGCTTAGGGGAAGAATCAAACTCCTATTCTCTACTTATCTCCAAAGTTTCCTTGGCCCAGTCAAGATCTCCCTAGCTCGAGTTATCAAAAAGCCTATAGCGAAATCGCAGCTGCCCAACTCATTCAATGTGACCTATGTTAAAGAAGTACCAAAATTTGTTGACAGTTAGATCTAAGTCAAAGAATTGGCTTAGATTATGGAATCCCACCATCACACAGACCGCATTCAGAGAACATTGGGCAATGACACATCTCATGGAGCAAAGCGCTTCTTGAAAGAAAGGCGGCATAGGACAAGTAAACCCCAACACAAAATAGTAAGGGTGGAACTTGATGGCTTTCTGAGCCCCATCACATGGTTCACGGCTGCTACCATCCTTAACATACTTCACACGCATTCCCAACGGAATGGCGTGCCAATATGCCTCGAGGAAGTCTCTAAACAAGTCATCGGAGCTAATCTTGAAGTGAGTAGCCTTGAAGTAACCAACCTTGCTCAAAGACCCGCCTTGACGGTACAATTATGGCACACCATCATAATCCTTGTGGTTCGAGGAAGACATGCTTGAAAAAATTCTACAAAGATACAAAAGGGATTTGTTAGAGGGCTGCCCAAAAAAAAAAAAAAAAAAAAAAAAAGAAAAAAAAAAAAGGGCATGGCATAACAGGCCCCAAGGCCCAAGAGAGTTATCGCCCTATCTTTTCCCCTCACTTGGACACGGGCTCAAGCCCAAGAAACAAATATATGATGATGAAGGCCCAAGTTGTAGGAGCCCAGTGCCCAAACCAGTCAAAGCCACACACGGCACCACCTTGTCGTGACTTCCCAAGTCAACCTCTCACAACTCCTTGACCCTAGTTGAGCCAAGTTTCAAACCCCGAGGCTCCCAAAAAATTAAGAAGACAAGAAAATTATATTTTTCTTACCTAGGAGTGGTGTGAAGATGAAGCACGCAACGAAAGACGATCCTTTGCATGGGCAAGATGTAGAAGATTACTAGAGGATGGGGAACAAATATCCTCTAAGCTTTTTCTCTCTTGTAGGGTAGAGTAAATCGCTCTACAAAGTTGATTTAATAATCCACTTAAGGTGGACTTAAATAGCTTTTGAGAGAAATTTATTTCCCTTTCCTAGAAGGATCTACTTTCCTATTAAAGAGGGAATCTACATCAAAATAGGAAAAAATCCTATATTTCTCAAAGGAAGGAAATCTCTGCACCTATTGCCCTTTTCTATAATCAGCTAACAGGAGTGGGGGCATTTATGGAGCCAAAAATAATCAAGAGGCGACACGTGGATTTTTGGGTTAAAAGGTCAAAATGACCCTCGAGACACATCGGAATTCCTACGCGCAACCAGTGGACAATCATCCCTCAATCAAGTCAAAAGTGCCCAAATAGGTATTTATTTATAACCTATTTCATCCATCCCTCATCATATCTTCTCCACAAGGTAACCCCTAAATCATTCCTTTTTTATTATATTAATTAGCTAATTAATTAATTAATTATTCAATTAATTTGCTAATTAAACACAAATCATGAACTTGACCCACAAATCCATCCAAGTGGCCGGTCCATCTCCTCCCATGGTGGCCGGCCACACTACTATATAAGCACCCTCATTCTCTTCAAAACTCAATTCCAATTCTCTTGCTAAATTCTCTAAATTCTCCAAACACTTTTCCATCAAAATTCTAACTTTGGCATCGAAGGTTCTTCGGCCAAACCCCCCCTCCCCCATTCATCGTGGGCGTGTGAGGCTCTTGGCCTTGACCTAAGGTGTTATTTGTTTTGTAAGTGCAATTTTGTCCAAGAACAATGAGGAAGAAATTTGCATCCACATTAGTGAGTTAGATATTAATTGTTAGAGGAAGAGAAAATCAATAAAGATCGAATCCGGAACATAATATATAAACATAATTGCTAATAACCATTGCAATAAAGCATCATCTACAAAACAAATTGGTACTACGAACTTCTACAACTAATATTTCATTTTTCTTAATAGACAATTCTTTCATCTACAAAACAAATTGGTACTACGAACTTCTACAACTAATATTTCATTTTTCTTAATAGACAATTCTTTCTCTTCTAAAGTTTTCCCAAAAGGTAAGTAATACAAGTCTAAAAACTTCATTCATTTAACACTACTACAATATAGGCTATCACCGGCGAAGCAAAAAGCGACAAGAAATCCAATTTTTGTCGGAACTATGGCAAAAATCCGACATAAAACAATGTAATGTCGGATTATGATAGCGACGCTAATGCTACCGTCACGAAAGGGCTTCAATGTCGGTTTGTTAGCTTAATCCGCCACTACACAACGTCGGTTAAAAGCGACACTAATGTTGACGTCGGTTTAAAGCGACGTATACTTCAACATTGCGTCAGTTTAAAGCGACGCATACTTCAACATTACGTCGGTTTAAAGCGACGTGTACTAGTAATTCAACTATAAAATATTCAACCTATTGTCGGTTTTAACCAACATCGTGATAAAATTAAACAAATAAAATATCCCATAACCGACGTCAGATAACAATTAAATAAATAAAATATGCAAACTAGTAACGGTTTTAACCGACACCACCTTTGTTAATAGTAATAAAAATATTTGGAAATCTGTCTCTGCATTCGTTTTCAATTAATTGTACCTAAAAAAAATTATATAACCAAAATAATAAATTTCAATTAATTTATTCAAGAATTCAACTGAGGTCTTTGGGTGTAGAATTTCTTGTTAAATGCATTCTATTTCATATAAACAAGTAAGTACAAAGCTATTAGAGAACCGGTTACAAGATGAAGATAAAAAAACTAACAATTACATATAATACTAATCAGAGCTCCATGCTTGCGTATAATACTAGCAGCTGCCATGATGCATTCCCGTGCTTGCCTTTGTCGAAGACCACATATTCTGTAGCTCCATGCTGCCATATATAATACTAGTAGCTCCATGCAACCATGCTTGCCATCATATCAATGCTCCAATACTTTACTACTTCAACATTAGGGCTCTAATCTTTATAGATTAAATTCAGGTTTTATACCTTTCAAAAATTATGGATCTGAAATTTCCAGTGTCCTTGCTCTTCAAATCCAAAATGAACATGCATGGATTTTTATATGGATTTTCGAACTGTTGATCTTACTGAACAAGAACATAAAAGAGGAGCTCAGTGGAGATTATAGCTTTAGTGAGTCATGCATTAGACTGCTTAGCATTCACATATTAATAGCTACATGGAAGATTATAAATACATCAAAAGTTCCACTTATTCTTCCTACCTTTTCACCACGAAATCATCCAATTAGAATAGATTTTGTTGTTATACCTTTAAATGATGGATCTAGAACGGAGACAATTCTCTGGTGGTTTTTCCTTGAGATGCGATTTGGGGCTGTACCAATGGTTGCATCGTCTTTTTTTTTTTTTTTCTTTTTTTTTTTTTTTGTACAGATCTCGGGTCCTTGCAAAAGAAACAACACAAGCATGAGGAGTTGAAGATTTTTTTCTTGTATGGTTTATTTCAATCTGTGAACCTGAGTGCATGAATCGGCAAAGGAGGGTGAGAAGTTTACCTGAGTGTGTCGGCACCAAGATCGGTGTTGCTACCCTTCTGGTGATGCAATAAATCCATGGTTGCAAGGTCTTATGGGTTGATGATGGAAGATTAAGGTTTGGTTTACAGAAAAGGAGGTTAGGGTATGAGAAAATGTGGAGAGAGAAGCTGTAGTTTTAGGGTGTGCTTGGAAGAAGGGAGAGATAAATGAGGGAGGTGAGCCTCTTGAAATAAGGAGACTGATATCCTCTTTTTCGTTTAAAAAATGGAGGGGAAATATCCCGCCCAAAAGAGAAGAAGATGGAGGGATGGGAAATGGAGAAGTCGAGGAAAAAGAGAGAGAATAGGAATGAGAGAGGGAAGGATGAAAGAAGCTTGAGTGTGGGTACAGAGAGAGACATTATGGAGACGGAAAAGAGAGGGTGAAGAAGAACCAGTTAAAAAAATAATAATGTGAGAGAAATGAGGCATGTGTGTCAGAGAGAGATAAAGAACCCATGTGAGGAACCGACCAAAGAGAAAGAAAATAAAAAATGATGTGACACTGATGTGTGTGTAAGAGAGAGAGAGTCACGTGAAGTCTGACATTCTTTATTGGAAATCACAGTGTCGGTTTAAATTAATGTTGGTGTCGGTCTAAACCGACACTAACTTCTGACACACTTTTTAAAATTCACGTAGCGTCGGTTTAATGAAACTCGCGTCGAATTAAAAAATGATAGCGTCGCTTAAAACCGACACCAACATTTTAAGATTTTAACAAATAAAATACTTAATAAAAAAACAGAAATATAATTTTATTATAAAATATCATCACATTCTAATTGAAACATAGTCTAATTAATACTTAAAATACATAAAATTAATTAATATATTTTAACTCAGATTTTGATTATTTTTTATAGCTACACTTATTGATCCTATATGAATATAATAAATGAATTCAATCTTCATTTTAAAATATTTATACTAGTGGATACCACAAAATCTTATGTTATACTCAATGAAAGTATAAATAAACTCTAAGTGTTAGTGAATCTATCGTTTTGATGGGATACGCATATTACGAAACTAATTTCAACGATCTAATTGTCAAACTTGTTTGTATATGCTTCGAGATCGCATACACCAAAAATCGCAAAAAACAAACATTCAGAGATCAAGTAACGGTACAAAACTTTTCGACAATTATAAACGAAAAATCACGATTTAACGGTTATTTTAACTTCGATTTTGATGATTTTTTACAGCTACACTCCTTCATCCTATATGAATACAATGAACTAATTTGATCGTCAATTTAAAATATTTACAGAAGTGGATACCACAAAATCTTATGTTATACTTAATGAAAGTATAAATAAATTCTAAGTGTTAGTGAATCTATCGTTTTGATGGGATACGCATCCTTCGAAACTAATTTCTACGATCCAACCGTCAAAATTGTTTATATATGCTTCGAGATCGTATACTCCAAAAATCACAAAAAACAAACATTCAGAGATCAAGTAACGGGACAAAACTTTTCGACGGTTATAAACAAAAAATCACGATTTAACGGTTATTTTAACTCTGATTTTGATTATTTTTTATAGCTACACTCCTTGATCCTATATGAATACAATGGATGAATTCGATCTTCAATTTAAAATATTTACACTAGTAGATACCGCAAAATCTTATGTTATACTTAACAAAAGTATAAATAAACTCTAAGTGTTAGCGAATCTATCGTTTTGATGGGATACGCATATTACGAAACTAATTTCAACGATCCAACCGACAAACTTGTTTGTATATGCTTCAAGATCGCATATGCCAAAAATGACAAAAAATAAACATTCAGATATCAAGTAAGGGGACAAAACTTTTTGACGGTTATAAATGAAAAATCACGATTTAACGGTTATTTTAACTCCAATTTTGATGATTTTTTACAACTACACTCCTTAACCCTATATGAATACAATGAATGAATTCGATCTTCAATTTAAAATATTTACACTAGTGGATACCACAAAATCTTATGTTATATTTAATGAAAGTATAAATAAATTCTAAGTGTTAGTGAATCTATCATTTTGATAGGATACACATTCTACAAAACTAATTTCAATGATCCAACCGTCAAACTTGTTTATATATGCTTCGAGATCGCATACGCCAAAAATCGCAAAAAAACAAACATTCAGAGATCAAGTAACGGGACAAAACTTTTCGACAGTTATCAACGAAAACCCACAATTTAATAGTGATTTTAACTCCGATTTTGATGATTTTTTATAGCTGCACTCCTTGACCCTATATGAATACAATGAATGAACTCGATCTTCAATTTAAAATATTTACATTAGTGGATACCACAAAATCTTATGTTATACTTAATGAAAGTACGAATAAACACTTAAGTGTTAGTTAATCTATTGTTTTGATGGGAAACACATTATACTAAACTAGTTTCAACAATCGAACCATCAAATATGTTTGTATATACTTCGAGATCGGATACGCCAAAAATTGCAAAAAACAAACATTCAGAGATCACGATTTAACGGTTATTTAATAAAAAACTAAAAAGAAAAATTGGAAGAACGAATAAGAAAAATGCAAGCGATGAAGATGAAAACACGGGGGAGAGTACATAAAAACCATCAATTTGTCGCTTACAACCGACACCAGGTTTCAAAATATTTAAAAAAAACTAAAAACTATGTTGCTCAGAACCGACGTAGGCTTTAAAATATTTAAAAACAATACTTTATGTCGCTTAAAAGTGACACCCATACTTTGTGTCACTTAAAAGCGGACTTTTCTTTGTTTAAAGTGACGCTAATATTTAAAAATTATTAAAACATATGTCGGTTATAAGCGACATTAAATGTTTACGTCGGTTTAAAAGCGACGTAGACATTTTATGACGCTTATAAGCGACAGTAAATCCGACGTCATGTTTAGTTAGTGTCGCAACTGTCTTGTTCGCCACTATATTATATTAAACCGACACCACCTACTGACACTATAAGGCCCTTTTGTAGTAGTGTAAAAGAGTAACTTACGTAAATAGAGTTATAGCATTTCCCTAGTACATTGCTATGTGAAAAAAAATTGAAGTATAATAATGCATTATTTAACTAAATTGTGAATTCGTTCCATACAAGTCTTCGTCCTATGTAGTCTAGAGTCGTAGAAGCTGGCAACACTTTATGAAGTTACATGTCTAATTGGAAGTATCATAATCAAAGCCAAATGACTACGACACTATCAATAATCACATACGAAACAAATGAGCCTTCAATTGCCCACCCAACCCAAAAATGGTCCAACAAAACCCCCCCACGCCTACATCCCTTCTCCATCCTCAACCACAACAATTATTTCGAATTCACAGAAGCAGCAACAGAAGCATTCTCACCTTTCACCTCCATAACCACAACTCTCATCCCCCTCCATTCTCTCTCTCCTCCCATAATTCTAAACCAACCACCACACCCACCATAAGAACACCCAAAACTACTAGTTGCACCCTACTCCTGCATTTGTTCATCTGGCTTGTCTTCTTCTTCTTCTTTTTCTCCATCTGGGCCTTCTTCTTTCTCATCTGGGCGTTCCTTTCGTCACCTGGGTTTTCTTCTAAAATGGCGGGAATGGTGGCTGTTGATCCGTACGTTCTCTTGACCTTCTTCGCCTCCCTCTTAGGTTTCCTCGTTCTGTCTGTTCTCCGACGCCGTAATTACAGCAAAGCCAAGAGCAAGGCTCAAAACAACAATAATACGACGAACGTTCCAGAAAAAAGTATCAACCGCTTCGATGACGGAGAAGTCTCGCTAGTTCACGGCTCTGGCACCGACGTCATCGTTGTCGGTGCGGGCGTTGCTGGCGGTGCTCTCGCCCTTACCCTCGCTAAGGTAAACAAAAGAAAAAAAAAAAAAAACGAGAAAGCAAAATTTGAATTTTTATTGTTTTATTTAGGGTGCTTTGGATTTTGGCCCGTACGATTCATTATTTTTAGATAAAAATCCATCTATTTTTAAAGATCTAGTTTAAGCTCAAATTTAAAATTTGCAAACATATAGGAACACTATTGACCTATTAATACAATTTATTTACATTCATGCCACTCATACTTTATGGTCCCTTTTGCAAATTCCTAAATTTATGCCAAATTAAAAGTAGTAGAAAAAGTGAATAAGATGAAAAAAGTGTTTGCATTGACCGTATCTATGTCAAACTAGACAAGTAGTTTTTTTTTTTCGTGATATATTTTGTAGCAATTTTATCCATATTAATTGGTAGGTAAATTAGTTTGTTCCAATTATTTAAAAAAAAAAAATACTACACCTATATTATATATTTTGAATCAAATAACATTCCTCTAACTTGTAGGAAAATTATTTTCTATGTATTGTTATATATGTTAGACACGTTTTGTTGTTGTATAAACATGAGTGGAACATAATATTGTTGATTTTATACATTAAACTGCATTTCTTTTGTTATGGGTAAATTATTTTCCATGTACAAGTACTTATGTTAGGCAAGTTTTGTTGGTACATACAATATTTTGTATCATTGTAAAGAAAGATATTACATTACACCCATGGTATAATTGTTGTAGGTAAATTATTGGAAATTAATTTGTAGTTAGGTAATGAACATTTTGCACCATTGGAAATGAACGTTTCAAAGAGTAGGTAGGTAAATTATTTTGTTCTAATTATATAAAAAAAATTACACTACACCTAGTTATATTTAATTTTTCCAATTATTAAAAAAATTTATACTACACCCAACCAAATAACATTTCTCTAACTTGTAGGTAAATTATGTTTAATGTATTGTTAGATATGTTACGCACGTTTTATTGTTGTATAAATATGGGTGTAACATAGTATTTTTAATACTACGCATGGAACTACATTTCTTCTTAATATAGGTAAATTATTTTCCATGTATTAGTAAATATGTTAGGCACGCTTTGTTGTCGGTATAAACATTATTTTGCATCATTGTTAAAAAGAGATATTATATTACACCCATGGTATAATTGTTCGTAGGTAAATTAATGTGCATGTAGATAATGAAATACAATGTTCTAATATATTAATAAAAAAAAGGATAAATTCAAAAGTATTCAAGAGTATGGTGAAAGAACTGAATCGAATAGTTTCATGAAAATTCAAAACCTTTCTAAAAAATTAAAATGCAATAAATTTTTAACATTAATTTCTTTCTTTTTTTTTTTGGTTACAAAATCATTTACTATTTCCTTACAATTAATTGTCTACATCAAGTATGTAATAGGGGTATTTCAGGCATGTGAAAAATGTAAAATGTGTGAATTAATATGAAGTTAATGAATTTGCTTATGTGGATCCTAGTCATTGGGTTTTCTTTGAGTAAAAAAGTTATGTAGGGTTTTCTATGAAGAAAATTGAGTTTGAAAGGTTAAAGTCATATTTTCACTTTTATTTATTTATTGGAAATTCAGCTTTCTTTGTTTATTTGTGAACGTGGGTAGAGTAACGTGTCAGATTGAGAAAACTTGCTTTTGGTTTGCAAGAAGGTGTTTGCTTATTAAGTTTTCTTTGGTCGTTTTTGTGTTACGAATACTACTATTAACTAACAAGTAATGTTTGCTTATGAATACATATATTTTTCAATATAAAATTAAGAAATTAATTTTTTTATTATAAAATTTGTAAGATAAAAATGCATTATTATTTTTTTAATTACAACAGCTAACACGTGGGATGGACCGCTCTTTTTTCATCATTGTTCTTTCACAAATTTTGAAAATTATATACATGTTACTTTGCAATGAGGATCCTCTCTGAATTTATGATAATTTTTTGTCGCACGATGTACGATGATCCGAATTTACGATGATTTCCAATCGTACGATGTACGATGAGTTTTGACCGCACAATATACGATGAACTAACACGATCGGAGGATCCCAGCATCCTTACAAAGAGGATCGTTACTTTGCCCTTTAACGACCATTCAGCTGCCGTAGCTGTAAAGGTGTTTATGTAGAAATGTAGAAACTTACTTCGTTTGCTGCTGATCCCAGGAGGGAAGACATGTTCATGTAATTGAAAGAGACTTGACAGAGCCGGATCGAATTGTCGGTGAGCTTCTCCAGCCGGGAGGGTACCTGAAATTGATTGAGCTGGGACTTGAAGGTAACCAAAGTTACTATTTCTTAGTATTGGTTTTGGTTTTAATGTTGAATGTTGAATGTTCTGCTTTGTCTTAGCATTGGTTTTGGTTCTGAAATCTTACCATGACATCAACATGAATGAACACTGGTTTCAGATTGTGTGGAGGAAATTGATGCTCAGCGAGTGGTTGGATACGCTCTTTTTAAGGATGGGAAGAACACTTTGCTGACCTATCCTCTGGAACAGTTCCACTCCAATGTGGCGGGGAAAAGTTTCCATAATGGCCGATTCATACAGAAGATGAGAGAAAAAGTTGCCAAGCTTCCCAAGTAAGGTTTCTTGCCTTCTCATTTGAATGCTTATTTTGTTATCCTGCTCGATTCCTTGACACATGATTTTATGTTAAATGATCCGCATTTCTTCAGTGAAGCTTCCTCTTTTTCTAATGCATCCTCTTGTGTTTTGTTTTCTTTTCAGTGTACAACTGGAGCAAGGTACTGTCACATCCCTGCTTGAAGAAAATGGAGCAATTAAGGGGGTTCAATACAAACCTAAGGATGGTCGAGAACTTAAAGTTTACGCTCCTCTTACAATTGTTTGTGATGGTTGCTTTTCAAATCTGCGCCGCACTCTTTGCAAGCCTCAGGTAAAGTTGCTTCCTCAAATCCTTAATTGAACTATTACTTGGTCTGATTAGGTTGCCAATACAATTATTCTTTCAACTCCTGGCGACAGAGATTAATGGTTGAATTATATTCGATCGTCTTGAATTAGTACTGATAAGATTTATGATTGAACTATATCCAATCGTCTTTGATGTGAAATATTCTAACACTCAAATTAAAACCCTATGATTGTAGTATATGAAAGTAGGGATCGTTTTAGGCCGGGGATTAGAAGGGATGCTAATCTACTCAATTTAAACTCTAAATCACTAAACTAGACTCAATAATAGAAAATTAGACTTAGAAACACTCAACTAGACACTAAAATCTCAAAACACACTAAACAGACTCTAAACAGCATAATACTAGCAAATAGACTCAAAATAGACTCTAAGGAGTTATTTGGACAAATTTTAGACTAGTAAGACTCAAAAAACTAAATTGGACAGATTCACACACGTTTCTAACTAATCTAACACACTTAATTAAAGGGGGATTGGATTTTGGATGAAATTAAGGTAAAAACAAGCAAATTGTAAATTAAACTAAGTTGCACGAAATTGGGGTGAATGGATGGGTGATAAGGTAGCTAGAGGGTCCTTCTCCACACATGACACATATGCAACACAAATCGATTTCCAATTATTCTTTCTTTAAACCATGAATGACAATGCCCCAAATTAATCGTGAACAACACTAATTAACCCTCAGATTTTCCTTAAGTCATTGAATTGGATGGGATATGCATCAGCAACCAAATTATTCTTCAAAAGCTCCCTACATGAACAACATAATAGATATACAATCAAAGATCATTAAGCTTTGTGAAAATCATAAGCATTGACAAGGCATTCGTAACTATGAACAGCATGATACTCCTACCAAGAATTTACTTAACACGATCGTGACTAGCAACCTCCACTACTTATGAATATAAGTTCATAACAATTAGGTGAAACTCCTTTATATTCTAGCATCAAATTCATGCATGCAAACTAAGTAGGCCTCCTTAATCAACATACAAGAATAAGTTCTTAATCAAACAGTTAAGTAAATTGCATTCACAATTTATGAAATCACAACTGGAGGTAATCAATTCATATTGTAAATATAATCATGGTTTCAAAGTCTCATCTAGCTAAAACGAGTTTAGCTCCTCATGTTCGCAATTAAACAAAGATAATTAAATTTAAACACTGAAAACAAAGATAGAATACATCTAGAAACGCTCTAACAATCCAACGTCTTGGATGGCAAGCACAACTCCAGGTGGCTCCTTCTTCCTTCCTTGCTGCAGCACAATTAGGATTTTCTGAATTTAGGCTCTTGAGGTGTGGTGATCTGATGGTAGGGGGTGGTGATTGAATTATGCGGCATAGACATATATTTATAGGCTTAGGTGTGGCACAAAAGTAGCTTAGGAAAAGGATCTTAACACTTCAAATCCATAAGGAAAAGGTCAGCTATATGGCAGATACCAAAGAGGAAAAGGAGAGAGAGGTGCGGCAGATTCCTAGGGGGAAAGGGTTACTTGTTTGCATGATTTTAGGACTCCTTAAATTAGATGGGAAGTGATTTAATATGATAAGGAATCCTCCTTGCAGCTGGAGATAAGGTAAGATAGGATTAGGATAAGATAAGATAAGGTTGGATAAGGTTTGAATAAGATAAGGTATTTGGATAATGTTCTTTTTTTGTAGCTGATTCCTTATCTTCAATGCTTCCAAATTTGTTTCTCTAGATATTAAGCACATTCCTAGCCTCTCTTGATCTTCAAATTCGTCCATTCACATTGCTCCATACTTATGCTATCAATTCCAAGCCCAAAACTGCTATAAAATGTTCCAAAATGCCCTTTCTTACCAACTTTGCCATTTGGACCTACAAACATACAAAATAACTTAAATCACTATAATAAATAGAAATTAACTATGTAAATGCAAGAAACCAAGCTAAGTCGCATAAATATGCTCCTATCAGTCTTGAATTAGTACTGACGTTTTTGCTTTACACTTTCTACATTGACAGATAATGTCAATCTTCTTTTTTCACAGGTAGAAGTACCCTCTTGCTTTGTAGGACTAATCTTGCAAAATTGCAAACTCCCATTTGCAAATCATGGGCATGTTATTCTAGGAGATCCCTCTCTGATCCTGTTTTATCAAATCAGCAGTACAGAAGTCCGTTGTTTGGTTGATGTACCCGGGCAAAGGGTACCTCCAATTGCCAATGGTGCGTTGGCCAACTATTTGAAGAATGTGGTGGCTCCACAGGTACCTTTCAATTTCAAAACTAGAATTCTTAATTTCAACATTGAAACATTTTGGTTGGTCCTATTTTGTTAACAGTAGTTTCTTTGTTCCTTTTTGGCCTGAGTTGGCTTCTTGCTTCTATGAATTAATGAAGAAAATATTTGTTTTAGGTTCCACGTGAACTTTATGATGCCTTCATTGCTGCAATTGATAAAGGAAATATTAGAATAATGCCCAACAGAAGCATGCCTGCCAGTCCACATCCAACTCCAGGAGCTCTTTTGCTGGGCGATGCTTTCAATATGCGTCATCCTTTAACTGGTGGAGGAATGACTGTGGCACTGTCAGATATTGTCGTGCTCAGGGATCTTCTTAAGCCGTTGCATGACCTACATGATGCAGCTTCATTATGCACATACCTAGAATCGTTTCATACCTTGCGGAAGGTAAGCCTTGTTGCTCGTGTGTGACTGCTTAATATCATTGTGCAAATACCTAGAATCCTTTTATACCTTGCGAAAGTTACAGAAAGAATGATTACTTTAAACATGATTCCTCTGGAAAAAAAATAATTCTGAACACGTCAAATTGAACTGTTTCAGTTCTGTTTCCTATTAGGCTCCATAACAATTGATTTCATAGTTGCATTGCTTGCAATAGAGATTATTATCACACTACTTATTCATCCTACTGACATTTGATGTTGTTTTCGCAGCCGGTTGCATCTACAATAAATACCTTGGCAGGTGCCCTATATAAGGTGTTCTCTGCCTCCCTTGATGAAGCAAGGACAGAGATGCGCCAAGCATGTTTTGACTATCTCAGCCTCGGAGGTGTTTGTTCAACGGGACCAGTGGCTTTGCTTTCTGGTCTAAACCCTCGTCCGTTGAGTTTAGTCTTTCACTTTTTTTCTGTGGCGGTATATGGTGTTGGTCGTTTGCTACTACCATTTCCTTCACTAAAACGCATCTGGCTTGGAGCTAGATTACTTTGGGTAGGTTTTTCTTTTCCCCCTAATTTCCTTGATGGTCATTGAATATTGAATCATGTTTTGTGTGGTTCATACTTTCAGTGCATAGTAAGAACAATAGTATTCATTAGACTCGCATTTGATATTGTGAATTGCCACGACGTCTAATCAAAGAACAAAATTTCATTATTTGAACAAAATTGTATACAATGTGAAGCCGTTTGGTTTGTTCTTACAAGTACCTTGCATCTCAAGGTGAAGCTTTATATATGAACTTTCGTATGAGCTAGATACCTAATTTTCTAACTGAGCAGATCCTATGGCCGTCATTGTATACAGTATACATGATTTCAATTAGTTTATCTAATTCTTAACAAAGACCATTTTCCTTTTGCCAGAGTGCATCGGGTATTATATTCCCTATCATCAAGGCGGAAGGAGTAAGACAAACCTTCTTTCCTGCTACTATTCCAACTTATCATAGAGCTCCTCCTGCTGAGTAAGCTACAAAAAATGATGTGGGAGAGCAAGGCAATGTCATGCTTCAAATTTGTTGTTGTCAAAAGTCGAGACAAACCAGTCGGTACCTGCAAATTCTTTCTTGTTAATGATAGATAAGAGGAAATCCAATTGTATTTTCCCTAAAGTCATTGAAACATTGTTTCTATGGGCTTAGGACGGTTTTCTCAATGCATGAACCATTGATGTAGGAACTCGAAATATGTATATCTTATGGTGGTATGGCCAAGCGAAAGAAATGTAAGAGTATATGTTAGATGTTTGCATCGAAAATAAAGGAAAAAATATGTTAGAAATTAGTCTTACATTCTGTGCAGTTTTATTGGCATGTTTATAGATAAACATTAGACAATGAGACGATGGAGAGAGTTGTCGCTTCAGGTCACCATTTTACTGCTACATCTTAATCGTTGATCACGGAAGTATTAACTTCATCAATGGCAGTAGTCCTTCAAACTATGATTAGTTCTGTAGAATGGCACGAGGAGGCTTGATTTCCCATTTACACATTTCTATGACTTAATCCAACTTAATCCAGGAATCTTATTAACTCGAGTTCTGTTCATCAATTCTCTCACATTAGCTGCTTCTGACCTAATATTTGGTGACATATCATAAATGAACATGATGGAAATGTTCTGTTCACTCCATTTACAAGACGTATTACAACAAATACATCTCGTGACCATAATAACCACTTGTGTGGAACTAGCTAGCTGCGTTTTAGTTTTACTTAAACCTTGCTTAGTGTGGTTGTATTTCCAACCATCCATCTTGGTCAATGAAAGAAGCTGTATTTGTTCAATATGCCACTTCCTCAGAAGGTGACTTCTAGAGTGAGAAAACTTACTCAGAACCAGAATGATGCCATGCTGACCAACCCTTTGGGTTAATAACATTTTCCATGTAGGCCGAGTCAAACGACACTCTTGCATATGCTCTGTAGGCTCTCCCTAAAAGTGTTAGACGAAGTCAACCTTTGGTGGTGACCAACGGTTCCTGAAGACGTCTTGTGCTTAGGAATCTTATCTCCTTGTTTATAAGACTTCATTTTGAATTATTCTTCTAACTAAAACTGGTTGTAATCTCTGTGGATTTCATTTGTATCTTTTGAATTTTGAATTTCTAAGTAAATAGGGATAGTTCAAACTTTGATTGTAATTTGTCAATAATTATAAATACAGGCATCCCATGCATTGATAAGTAAGCAACTGAACTGAAACCTTCGTGTTCTTAAGTTTTACATGGTATTGAGCCCTATAGTCTAACAACATACGATCAATTTTTTTTTACTCGCTTCCAATGGCTGACAACAATGGTACTTCCTCTCAACCTTCCACTCCTGTCCCCTCAAACAATCTCACCCATCCCTTTTCCTTCATGACTACGTGGTCAACATCAAGCTAGACAGGACCAACTATCCACTGTGGTTGGCCCAAATCCTTCCTATTCTCAAAAATCGAGATTTAATGGGGTATGTTGATGGCACTGTCGTGTGTCCCCCTAAGCACTTTCCTGGTGTGGCAACTATTAATCCTGCCTATACCTCATGGATGCAGCAGGATTAAATGATCCTCAGTTGGATCAATGGCTCTCTTACTACGTCAATTTTATCTGTCGTGGCTAGCAAGCGAAGTGCTCAAGCGACTTGGGAAGCTCTTGAGTAGAGGTATGCTTCTTCTTCATAGAATAGAATTTTGTTTCTCCGGAATGAATTTCTCAAACAAAGAAAGGTGATCTCTCTATGGCAGACTACTTGGATCACATGAATGTGATTGCCGACAACCTTGCCCTCGCCGAGCAACCTGTGAGTGATGATGAGTTAGTACAGATCATGTTGAACAATCTTGGTCCAGCTTTTGAGATGACAGTTAGTGTTGCTCAGGCTCGTGATACATCTACCACGTATCCAACTCTTGAGGCGCTATTGCTGACCACTGAAAGAAGAATGTTGGAGCACGTTGCCCCTGTGGTGGAATAGAATCCTATTAATGTTTTTGTTGCTGCAAAAGGTTGAGGTGGAGGTCGCAGTCGTGGTGTTGGTTGCGGCTCTTCTCCATCAAACCGTGGTGCAGGTTCCTTTCAACGAGGCTTCAATCCTCGTTCAAATAATAATCAGTGACTTGCTTCTGGGAATAGCGATCGCTGTGCTTCCAATGGTGAGCGAATTATTTGCCAAATATGTGGCAAACCTGGCCATCCGGCTCTTGACTGTTATCAACGGATGAATGCTACGTTCGAAGGCCGCATCCCTGCCAAACATCTCTCTACAATGGTGTCGCCCCCTATTATTCTCAATAAACAAAAAAATGGCAATTGGTTATTAGACATAGGAGCTAATGCACATATCACTCCAAATCTGCAAAACATGGTAAGCCCGAAAGAATATAATGGTAATAATGGTGTTAATGGTGTAGGTAATGATTCTGGTATTTTGATCTCACATTATGGTTCTAATAAACTTCATACTGACGCTTGCTCATTTAAGTTACAAGACATCCTACACTGCCGTAAAGCCTTAACTAGTATAATTCCTGCCCATAAATTCACATTAGACAATGACTATTATTTATTAATCTTTCCACATTTCTTTCTTGTCAATGACCTCAAGACCCGGATGACGCTTTTCCGAGGGAGATGTGACAACGGCTTATACCCGTTTTCAAGTGGCGGTGGACAAATTTCATATCCATTTACAGCTTTCGTAGGTGTTCGAGTTTCTGTTCAAAAATGGCATGCACGTCTTGGACATCCTGTCAAGTCTACAATAAAGTTTTTAATTGCAAATAAATTGGTTCCAGTAGATGGTACCACCAATGTAAAGTTTTGTCAGTCTTGTCCTTTAGGAAGAGTACCAAATTGTCTTTCAAAGTGTCCGAGTCTATTTCCCATTATCCTTTGCAACTTTTACATTCTAATGTTTGGTGTTCTCCAATTATTTCCAATGATGGTTTTCATTATTATGTGTTGTTTGTTGATGATTACTCAAGATATTCTTGGATTTTTCCTATGAAAAATAAATCTCAGGTCTTTGAAATATTTATGCAGTTTAAGGCCAAAGTTGAAAATATGTTCAATTTAAAAATTAAAGCCCTTCAATGTGATAAAGGTGGTGAATACAAAAGCATTGCCTTTCAAAAAAAATTAGCACTTCATGGAATTTCTCAAAGATTTTCGTGTCCTAAACATCCAGAACAAAATGGAATTGCAAAGCGCAAACATCGACACATTGTTGAAACTGGAATTGTGATGCTTTCTCAGTCACACATGCCTACTAAGTTTTGGTTTGATGCCCGTAGCACAGCAATATATTTGATCACTAGGTTGCCTACCCATGTGTTGTCTAAGACATCACCTTGTGAGAAGTTATTTCATAAACCACCAAACTATGCTACCTTAAAAATTTTGGTTGTCAATGTTTTCCATGGTTGGTGCCATACACAGCAAATAAACTTCAACCAAAATCAAAATCATGTGTGTTCTTAGGTTATTATTTGAATCATCAAGGCTACAAATGTATGAATTTGTCCACGAGATGAGTTTATTTGTCTCGCCATGCTCTATTCAATGAGAACTTTTATCCTTTTCAAGGACTCACATCTTCCTCTGAGAGCGTTCAAACACAAGGTACACCTTCTTCGCCAGGTCTCTTATTTAATTTTCTTGTCAGCACGCCTCTTACTTTGACCGAGAACCATACTACCGTACCCACCCTAAATCACACTTCATCACAAATCACCTCTGACAATCCAAGTCCAACTATCACCCATCCTATTCCACTTACTTTGACCATGCCACCTACTTCCATTCAAACATTCAACCCTTTCCACCACAAACTTCATCTCCCAACCCATACCACACGGTCACCTACCCTGCTCCTACTTCTTCACCTATACAAACTGACAACCTCGATGTGACTTCATAGCCTAGTCTCCTAGGTTCCTCTTCTATGTTAAATAAGCAAGCCACACTAAGTCATGGACCTATGCCAGTGCCTCACGAGGCTCCTATTGAACCACCACACGTCATGACCACACGTTCCAAGTCGGGAATACATAAATCAAACCCTAAATATGCTATGCATGTACATGTTGTTATTAATGATGTTCATGTTGAGCCTATATGTTTTACTCAGGCAGTCAAATATCCAGAATGGAGAAATACCATGGTCTAAGAATTTAATGCTTTGTAGCATTGTGGGATGTGGAACTTGGTTCCATATTGTTCCAACATGAATGTTTTGCCTAACAAATGGGTGTTCAAAATAAAGAGGAATGCAGATGGTTCAATTGAAAGACATAAAGCACGTTTAGTTGCAAATGGTTTTCATCAATAGGCTGGTGTGGATCATAAAGAGACCTTCAGTCCTTTCGTCAAGCATAGTACCATAAGACTGGTTCTTAATCTTGCAGTCTTGAAAAATTGGCATGTCCGACAGCTTGATGTGCAAAATGCATTTCTGCATGGCTATTTATGTGAAGAAGTATATATGAGACAGCCTGCGAGGTTTGTTGACAAGCAATTTCCCCACCATGTTTGTAAACTGCAGCTGTCCATTTATGGTTTAAAACATGCTCCTAGGGCTTGGTTTCAACGTTTTTCTGAATTTTTGCTTCAACTCGGATTTCAAGAATCCATATATGATTACAGTCTCTTTGTGTTTAATCAGAAAGATGTGTATCTCATCTTGTTAATCTATGTAGATGATATTTTACTTACTAGGAATAGTCTGCGACAAATGGCACATTTGATTACCAAGCTATGTACTTTGTTTTCCATGAAAGATTTAGGACCTTTCCACTATTTTTTGGGTGTTGAAGTTAAGTATATTGGGAATTGCATGCATCTCAGTCAGTCCAAATATGCTTTGGACCTACTCACTCACACAAAGTTCACTGAGGCTAAGCCTATATCAACTCCGGTTTCCTGTGGACAAAAGCTTAGTGTGTATGATGGTGAGGCATATGAAAATCCAGCACATTATAATAGTGTGGTCGGAGCATTGCAGTACATCATTATAACTCAACCTGATTTATCATACTCAGTCAATCAAGTATGCCAGTTTATGCATGCACACAAACTTGCTCACAGGAAGGCTGTGAAACGTATTCTACGATACTTAAAAGCCACGCATAATCATGGACTTCTCTACAAACCTAGAAATGATAGATTGTTTGCGTTTTCTGATGCTGATTATACTGGTAATCCAGATACTAGACATTCCATAGGTGGCTATTGTATTTATTTGGTTCGGTCAAGAAGGCCATTAAATTTTAAAGTCCATTTAGCTTTGGAAAACGAAAAG